TTTTTCCCCACAAATTGAGCTTTTGGTGGTATTTGATTGCCTGTGTGTTTTTTATTTTTTGTGCCATAAAAAAAAAAAAAAAAAATTTAAGAAAAAAAACAAACTATATATTGGACTTTTTGCTATATAACATGTCTAGAGTAAAAAAAAAAAAAAAATAAATAAAATTTCATCCTAAATTTAGGCCAAGATGTATTCTGCGATATCTGTGCTAAAAAAAAAAAATCCCAATACGTGTAAATTAATTGGTTTACGTAAAAGTTATAGTGTCTACAAATGGAGGTATAAATACTGGAAATTTATATATATATATATATATATATATATATATATATATATATATATATATAGATAGATAGATAGTGGGAACTCACTTCCAGTGGTAGAGCTTTGTTAAAACGCACACAGCAACTCACTTTCTTTTTTAAGGCCTTTTTAGCCCACTTTTATTTAAAGAAAAATGTTCCATAAAGCTTCCCACGCAGGGGTATCCACCATCACAACACATGTAAATGAAAATTCAGCCTCCTGGCTTGAACACAGTTCTATGTCTGTCTCCTACAGACTCTTTCCAAAATTATGGCTCTCGCACACAGCTGGCCACTAGCACACAGCTAGTCTGGCTTCCACCTCTCCTTGGTGAAGCCCTCCTGACTCCAAGGCAGATCCCTCCTGACTGTCTGCCAGGGTGGAGCCCAGAACCCTGGTCCTGACACTACAAAAGAGCCATGCACACCTGTGCAATCAGTGTCCTGGCCATTCCCAAAACCTGGTCCCAGGATTGGAGATTTCATCCCTCCCAGATCTCTTTGAAATCTCCAGGCTCCAGCTCCCAAAACGGAGTTAATGAGTAAATGAGGAAACCGAAAAGCCAGTTTCCTCTGCAATACATCAACCCTCTGGAGCCCCTCAACCTGTCTGGTTGAGAATCCTGGGTGAAATAACTCATCCACATCGTGACAGATCGCCACACTGTCACATATCCCCCCCTTTGTTTTGATCCCGTAGGGGGCAGAACACACAATTTACATCTTCTGGCAACTATGTGCCAGCTCTTACTTACAGGGGTCCAATCTGGTCTGACCATACCTTTCCTAAAGGGGAACTCTACCCAATGACTCCTTTGGTGTCTCTCCCCAAGCCCCATTGTCACTCTGCTATGGGCTCTAATCAGACCTTCCCTACTCTTTCCAGGTGCATTTCCATAAACACTTTCTCTCCTGAAATCTTAACGGGGTCCCCCTGGCCTTTCTATCGACCTGCCTCTTTGCTTCAGGTTCCCTAATACCTCTCAGTATTACTGTCCCAAGGCTGTAGGGGACCTATTTCTACTGTAATTGTACCGGGACCACCCCCCTTATTTCTGGTACCTTTGGATATCAAACCTGCATGACTCGTCACCACAGTATTCAGCTTACCATGAACAGATATATTCCAGTCAATATTACACCTCTCAATATCTTTTCCAGAATTTGTTGTGCAGCCATCACCCATGGGAACCACACAAGATGCCATTTCACCTGGTGTCATGTACTGCAGGCAGCTGTCCCACCATTTTAATTTTTCCTACACCACTTGGATCTGTATCCAAGTGGTGTAGGAAAAATTAAAATGGTGGGACACCACTTGGATACAGATCCAAGTGGTGTAGGAAAAATTAAAATGGTGGGACAGGCGCCTGCAGTACATGACACCAGGTGAAATGGCATCTTGTGTGGTTCCCGTGGGTGATGGCTGCACTATGGTGTGTGACCACTTGGATCTGTATCCAAATCCTGAACAGATGAGCTCTTTTCTGATCCATTTTGCCAGTTTTCACTTACCATTTGTCCCTGTATTTCAGGTGTCTTATCAAACCTGTTACCTAAACCTCTTTTTGGCCCAATGACCCGGATTTCCTTACACACATCCATTTGAGCCCTGGTCAGGATCTCTGCTGCTCTCTGGTCCATGCTCGGCCCTTCCATCTCATGTTGTTTGTCCACTGGTGCAGTAAACATACCCTTCACTGACAACTGACCAGCACCATCCTGGACCATAGCAGCAGAAAATGGTTCCCACCTGGCTGTTAGGAGGTGAAACCTTTTTCATTTCTCCAAAACTCCATATATCACATTTATAGGTAGTCCAGTGGCATACCCAGAGGCAACTTTTACCACCATCAACAAATTCAGAAATAAACCACTTTCTTGTTCCCGTTTGATCTGTACAGCCAGCCAGTCGGTGCTCCACCTAGTGGTACTCCACAGTACCAGACCATCTGACTATAGAGGAGACACCCCAGTATACATTGGTTGTACATTCCAAAGTTCAAGCATCTCCTTTAATACTTGATTACAACCCAACCACTTGACTCTAGACCCAAGACCTTCCTGACGATATTTAGGACACTGGGAATGCTGAGAGACTCACCTGCTGAGACTTGAGAAGTTGAAACTTTTAAAGGGACCTCTTCCCAGCTGGAGGTAACCACAGCCTGGTGCTCCACTAGAGTGCTGCCAGGTGCTGGGCTCACTCTCAACATCCATAAGCTGCCCCGACCCTTCCCAGTGACATCATTTTGACATCCCATGCCAACATCACGCTTGTGGGTCACAGACAAAGTCTCTGCTGTATGCGCGCCCTTATCTATAGGCCGTTCTATAGACCCTCCTGCTGGCACAGCAGAAACAGTGTCCACCTTATTTTTTTGCATAAAAGCCTCATCTATCAACGAGATTAGCCTTTTACCCCAACTATCCCAATCCATTGTATAGGTGCTCAATTCCCCAGTGCTCCTCAGCACTGATCCATCCGCCCAAGGAGACACATAAGAATAGACGGGTTTAGTTGCAGATCCATTGCCCAAATCACTCTGGATCACATCAGACTTGGGTAACACCCGGTTTCCAACTGCAGGTTGCAATACCTCACATCCACCACTTTGCTCTGGTGGTGCTTCATGAATTGCCCACACATTTGCATTTTTTGCCAGGGTGCATTAACCTGCTGTTTACCTGAACACATTCAGTATTATTAGACTGCACCAATACACTCCTATGACAAGGTGCAGTTCCATTCTGCTCCACCAGAGTGACATCGCAGTTGTCCAGGGCAACCTCCGGCTCCAATACACAGAGTTCCCTGGAGATTTCTAAGGACACCTGTGCTGTCTTTCCACCAGTTGCTATGGGAAATAACCCATCTTTAATTACCGCTTTTGCACTACAAGAGCTTAGAGTTTTCCCAACAGCAGCACATTTCACATCATCAACAACATTATCAGCATTTTTAGCTCTTGTGGGCTGTACTATCCCACTACCAACCTGTGACTGGCACACAGTGACATAACTTTCTTTTTGAGAACCATGCACAGGTTTTACTTTAACTCCTACCTCTCCACTGTACAAGGCACTGCACAGGGAAAAGTCACTCTCAAAAACACATTCAGTGGCCCAACTAACTGGGGTCACTCCTACATCAGAATGAACAGTCTCATAACCAGTCCTTCTCAACATGACAGTCCCAGCCTTGGTTTTATCACAGTCTTACCCACCACAGTAGTAGGTGTCGCCATCTTCATTTGAGTGAGTCGTCTCATAAGTGCAGCCTCAACTGCACTTTCCTTGGCAACTTTTTTCTTGCCCCAAGGTGAAGTAACAGACGCCATCATAGGCTCCATGGACGCTCTGGCACCCCCTGCAGGCCCCACAGGTACTTCCTCCCGGTTGCCAGAGGTGGCTGCCAACATTTTAAAAAACAAAAATCTGGGCTTGCAGTTGAAGACATTTGCCCAGTATCAGTCTGGGACAGGTAAAGATCCCATGCCCCCACTGACCACATTCCAGGCAGGGTACATTTCCACACTTATCTTTTTTGGGACACAGCCACATCTCCAATGCAGCTCCTCCTTCCAGGCAATACTTTTTCTCTGGTCACCATGGGAGATTGCACTCTCCAAGCAGAACTTTGTTGGCTATTTCCAACACGCTGTATTGGCTCCTCTTGATGCCACTTGCCATGATCCTTGTACGACATAGTCCCCTGTACAAAGACAGCCTGACTGGCCTCCTGTGTTGCTCTGGGCAATCACTCTCGGTCCTGGCCTCTGGTCAGCCCCTCTCCTTGCACATAGCATGGGCTTCTCTCTGCTGGACCCTTTCACATTTTTCACAACAGCTACTGGTTTAACTCCAGCAGCGTTGCCATGGGCAACAACACCCCTTTCCCAGATACGGACATCCTGCAGCTCTCTCCTTGCACTGAAGGTTGGCTTGCTTTCCTCTGTAGGTTGGCTTGCACCAGTCCGCAGCAGACTCACCCACATCTAAATTTCCCAGCTTGGCTGGGGCATGCGGTATATAACCCCCTAACCACAGGGCTCTCTCGTTTCAGCAAACATTGCCTCCTTTTTCTGTTTTGACTGCCCCATCTTTGCAGTCACGCACACAGCAGTCTGTTACACTGTTCATCAACACTATGGAACACTGTCTCTTTAAGGCAAAGTCCTTTTCTCTAGCAGGTTCTCCTCACCTGCACACACAGATAGTGCAGACTTATGCACCAAACACAGTTCATATAACAAATGAACTTACTTCATCGCAGGGATCTCCCGTTCTGCTCGCTGCATCCACCACCATATGTGGGAACTCGCTTCCAGTGGTAGAGCTTTGTTAAAACACACACAGCAACTCACTTTCTTTTTTAAGACCTTTTTAGGCCACTTTTATTTAAAGAAAATGTTCCATAAAGCTTCCCACGCAGGGGTATCCACCATCAAACACATGCAAATGAAAATTCAGCCTCCTGGCTTGTACACAGTTCTAGGTCTGTCTCCTACAAACTCTTTCCAAAATTACAGCTCTCGCGCACACAGCTGGCCACTAGCACAGCTAGTCTGGCTTCCACCTCTCCTTGGTGAGGCCCTCCTGACTCCAAGGCAGATCCCTCCTGTCTGCCAGGGTGGAGCCCAGAACCCTGGTCCTGACTCTACAAAAAGAGCCATGCACACCTGTGCAATCAGTGTCCTGGCCATTCCCAAAACCTGGTCCCAGGATTGGAGATTTCATCCCTCCCAGATCTCTTTGAAATCTCCAGGCTCCAGATCCCAAAAACGGACTTAATGAAAAATGAGGAAACCGAAAAGTCAGTTTCCTCTGCAATACATCAACCCTCTGGAGCCCCTCAACCTGTCTAGTTGAGAATCCTGGGTGAAATAACTCTTCCACATCATAACAGATCACCACACTGTCACAATACATATATATATATATACACACTAATAATGGTGGCGATCAGCGACTTTTGGTGGCGATCAGCGACTTTTGGTGGCGATCAGCGACTGCGGCAGACATTATGACACTGGGGGGGAACTGACTTGGGGTCACTGACATCCCTAGTGACACAATACAGTGATCAGTGCAAAAAAAAACCACTGACACTGTACTAATGGCACTGGGGAGGAAGGGGTTAACATTAGAAGGCAATCAAAAGGTTAACTGTGTGATGGGAGTATTTTACTAGGGGGCGGAGGTGTGCTTCACTGTAAGCCAGTGTTTCTCAACTCCAGTCCTCATGGACCCCCAACAGGTCATGTTTTCAGGATTTCCCTCAGATGAAACAGCTGTGGTAATTACTAAGGCAGTGAAACTGATCAAATCACCTGTGCAAAATAATGGAAATCCTGAAAACATGACCTGTTGGGGGTCCATGAGGACTGGAATTGAGAAACACTGCTGTAAGCACACTGATCCAGAAGGCTGAGCTCATCCATCCAGAACAGTGTGCTCAAACTGACAGGGAGGAGAGCTGCATTGAAAACAATGCAGCCGTCCTCCCTGTCAGTGTTTGCCAGTAATTGCCGGGCTCCAGCGGTTATTCACTAGCCAGGACCCGGTGATTGACACCCGCGGCTGTGATCGGCGGCACAGGTAAGGTACCCGGAAATGCAGGATCACATTTATATACGTGATCCTGCGCACAGGGGCTGCCTTGTCACAGTATATTTACTGTGGGTGGTCCCCTAGTGGTTCATTTTAAAAAAAGCAAAAAAAAAATGGTTCCATCATCAGTCATGGTGTCCAGCGCTGTCCCAAAGTCACCGACTTGCCAAAATGTAAAAAAAAAAAAAAAGTCGAACCATACACACCCGCTGAGCACTCACCGCATTATGACAGGTCTGACAGTTGCTGGTCAGATGTTAACAATTGGGCGGAGCTAGTGGCGACATCACTACGTTGTCATTTCCACAACGCTGGACTGCGTGGTTGACAATGGATTACATCAATGGAACTATTTTTTTTGCTTTTTTGGATTTTTTAAATTAAAAGGGGTTGTCAAAAACTTTGTTTTTTGTTCAATTAAAGGAATTTTTCAAAAGTCTGGCATCTTTTTTTTTTCATGGGGGTGTTCGGCCCTATCACTACCGGGGGAGCCATGACAGCCTTGCACTGGTGGGCTCTGTGTCCAGGTAAGTCTGTCATAATGTGCTAGTGTGCAGTTCATGCTAGTACATTATAACTTAAACCTGCAGGGGACCTGATTTAAAAAAAAAATCTGGCGGTTTACTAATGCTTTAAACAGTACATTTATAATAAAACTATTCCTCGCCTCCCTTCTGACTATCCTCAGTGCACAGGCTCCATAGGCTTTTCATCCCTACCCAGAGGTCTGGCAAGGCAGGGACTTGTTCTTTTTCTCATGCATCCCTTACATTACAAATCCCTTTCACACCACAGAACCCCTTTCACATCTGAGCCCCTCCTTTGCAATCACAGACCCCCTTGCAATCACAGCTCTCCCACCCTCCTCACATTATGGCCCAAGGGGGCCATGCAAGGGCATCACAGCCCCCCTTGCAATCACAACACCCCAAATCACTGCTCCTCCCATATCACAGCTCCCCCCTCTCACATCACAGCCCCCCATATGTCAAAGTCCCCTTGCAATTGCAACCCCTCTCTCACATCAAAACTTCTATATCATAACTCCCCCAAAATCCCACCTACGATCACAGTTCCCCCCAAGCACAGTCCCCCTTACAATTAAACCCCCATATCACAGGTCCCATTTTTTACATCACAACTTCCTTTTTTTTTTTCTTCTTCAGCGCACAGGCAGATTTACACAACATCCTGGCACAGCATTATGTTGCTCACAGCATTATGTTGCTCACTGTCCTTGCTACTGGTTGGCTTGGGCTGAGGGAATCATCTGCAGAATGTAGGCTGGCAGCTATCATAATTATCGGAGCAGCAGACAGATGCAGCAGTCAATCTTACCTTTTCATCACACATACTCAGCAGTCAGCACCAAGAGGTCAGGTTGGCAGCATACAGAGGAAAGGGAAGAACATCCATCACTTCTGGTTTCATTTCTGTGTTTATCTGGCTGGTACTGGCCAGGAAAGCAGCCAATCAAACAGATCTGTGTTTGATCAGTTGCCTTGGAAGGCAGGGTAGAGATCAGAAATCTCAATAGGTCCATTATCTCTCCATAAAGAGGACCTGTCATTGTTCAAGCTATCACAAGGTATGTTATTGTCGTGAACAAAAAAATTTTAAAAAAGCAATGATTCTAGCACCAGAGCTCATGTTTAAGGCTACGTTCACACTAGCCTTGTGTGCAGGCGGCAGAGAGGCGTTTGGGAAGCGTTTTTACCGCTTCCCAAACGCCTCTGCCAACTCTGCACATTACAGCACATGGTGCTGTTCTAACAGGAGCGTTTGCGTTGCGTCGCGGCAAAACGGACGCCTCTGGTCGAGTCAGGAGGCTTTGAAGCCTCCTATTCTCGTCTATGGTGCCGCTCCGCAAACGCCCGGCCGGCGTTTGCGGTGCGGTTGCGACGCGGTTGCGGGGCATTTGCAGAGCGGTAACACCACACCTCAAATGCATTATAGGCGTTTGTGGGGCGTTATTAACGCTCGGCAAACGCCTAGCAACCGCCGCTAAACTGCGCATGCGGCGTTTGCGGAGCGTTTGCCGAGCGTTAAAAACGCTCCGCAAACACCGGACCAACGCTTGCCAAACGCTATAGGGGCGTTTGGCAAGCGTTGGCAAAACAGCCTAGTGTGAACAAGCCCTTACTCTAAACTGGTGACCTATAAAGGCTTTTAAAGTGTCACCTATGGACAATTCTAGTTACTATAATTTTTCACCCATTAACAGGTGTGCGCAATTTTAAATCTTAAAAAGTTTGGTATCTATTTACTCAATGCAACATCATATTTTTAACATGCCCAGCATAATTTTAGCCTCCATGTTCATGAGACCTGAGTCCCTGGAATTGTTTTAAAATGGTGAAGGGATTTTGGTTATTCGTCCCAGAGCACACCCAAGTGCCATTTCAAAACAGCTAACCTAGCTGCAACAGTTTCTGTGGCCCCTACCAGATTTAGCACTGGAATCACCAGCTGTCTGAAAGCAGAGATCATCCAAAGTATATGGAATGCTGTGTAGCACAATCAGAAGCACAGAAAATGATTGTTTCAGTTTCTGGGCTTAGCACATATAGCTCTACAGAACAGCACAGTCCACATGTGTTTTTCAGGACACAGGAAACTTTTATTCAAAGAAAAGACAGAGTATTATCATCGATGCAGCTACAAGCTTAAAACACTGTCATCTACTGGTTGAAGAATATATCTCTACTGAATACTGATGTAGTTGTCGCACAAAATACATGAACACTATATTCCAATATCCCCACTCAACAAATACTCCTTACATTAGTCCCATTTCTGATCTCAGTTCTATAAATCTGTTTCTTGTAAACGGTTTCGTCAAAGCGCCTGCACTCATGTTGCTCTGAAAGTGTCCAAATCTGCAGTTCACTAAGAGATGTCATCCACAGCTCTGATCCACTTTTGTTTCTCATGGGTTGGAAGTCTTTGCATCTCATCCCATGAATCTGTCTCAGGTTTTAATGCTACGTGAGCAACATAGGACAGATGTTTGGCAGGGATGCCTTTATTGCTTCTGGTGGATTTCCTGATTGAAGCCTCTTGTGGCCTGGTTTCTTTCTACTTTTACAGTATTTGGATTGTCTGTGTTAATTTACAGTATATTTCTGTGTCACTTTGTTGCTTATATTTATGTGACGCTGATGTGGAATTTCCCTCAGTATTAAGTATTTGTGTTAGTTCATGAAGTTTTGAACACACTGAAGTTTCATCGACAATTACACTTCTGATGGCTACCTTGTTTGTGTCTTGGTGTAGAATGCTGTATCCCTTTTGAGATTCACTGTACTCAACAAGTACACCATCCTTTGCGCAAGAATCCCATTTCGCATGTTTTTCTTTTGGGCCTTTCCATTTGTAGCTCTCCTCTAAATAGCTTGGGGGAGTTAGTTAGTTTTTTTTTTTTAGTCAGAGGCTGTGTTGCAGCCTGTGTAATAGTTAGCTGGATCACATTTAGGTCAGGGCTGAGAGGTTCTGCAGGGGTAGCCACCGTCAAACAAATGAAACAAAATTCAGCCTCCTGCCTCTCTCAGATATACTGCCCCTTGCTGCTCTGGCTCCCACCACTCCTAAGTTGAGCCCTCCTGACTCCTGGGCAATGACCTCCTGTCTGCCGGGGTGGAGCCCAGAACCCTGGTTAGGCCTGCACACACCTGTGCAATCAGTGTTCTGACTGTTTTCAAAACATGGTCCCAGGATTAGAGATTTCATCCCTCCCAAACGGCTAAGTCCGCAACACAGAGCTGGCAGACAGCAAGGATAGCAGAACTCCGGCAGACAAAGGGTTAAGTCGATGACACAGGCTGGGCACACAGCACATATGGCAGAACTGTGGCAAACAAAGGGTTAAGTCCGTAACACAGGCTAGGCACACAGCAGGGATAGCAGAACTTTGGCAGACAAAGGGTTAATCCACACAAGGAACTGGACACAGCAGAAATGGACAGGGATCCAGCACAACAGGGACTAAGTCCTTAGCACAGGGTGATACTCCGGGCACACGGTGGGGATGGGCAAGCATCCAGCACAACAGGGGCTAAGTCCTTGGCAAAGGGTGGCACTCAAGTACAGCAGAGCTTAGTCCAGAGGCGAAGAGCAACAATCCGGGCCCAGGGAGTAGCAGGCCACAAACTGGTACAGCAAAGTCCAGGGGCACAGGGCAGACATTCAGGGACTCACCAGCCAACATTGGCCTCAGCAGAGAAAGTCTAGGCAGGGTGGCATAGAAAAGGAGGTCCAGAGGGCAGAGGTCCTTCACCAACCCATCATGGATCCTAGGAGGGCTGTGTGTGCTGACCGCAGCTTTAGGACTACATTAGGCAACAGTTGACAGTTCTAGACCTACCTATCACTGCTTCAGCAATGGGCCAGTCTACTCCTGACTCATCCCCAATTCTGCTTTATGACTTTTAATATTTGGGACATTCAGTAACCAGGCCCCACCCTACCACAATTACATTTGCTCAAATCTGTCTTAGAAGTTCTATCCATCCATGGAACAGACAGACTCATTCAGACAAGTAGGGTCTTCAACCATTCCCCAATGCAGCTGATTCCATGCCTACTGTCCAGACCGATTCCATTAATCCTCTGCTTACTTTGCTGATCCTGTGCCCATTGCCCAGCCTGGTGGTCCTGTTCCCAATACCCAGCCTGGAGGTTCTGTGCCTTCTGTCCAGCCTGATGGTGCTGTACCTGCATCCCCAACGTGATGGTGCCATACCTGCTGCCCAGCCTGCCTCTGATGCTACCATGTCTGCAGCCCTGCCTGTCTCTGGTGCTCTTTGCATGTTGCCCAGCCTTGCCTCTGATGCTCCTCTGCCTGCTGCCCAGCCTCTCTCATGGTCTTGTGCCTGCTGCCCAGCTAATCTTCAGTATCAGAATTTTGTTCTCATCAGCTGCTGGGTCTAATATTTCTGTGCCTCTGTGATTTGGACTTTGAATGCTGGGAGGTATTTAAGCCCTCCCATAACTGAGGTTTAGTGCTTTACTGTTCTTCCTGTGAGCTGTGCCCTGCCTGATCTTGATCCTGATCTGGTTCCTGTACCTTATCTTGTGACCTGCTCCCTATACTCTGCTCCCTGCTTCCAGCTCCAAGTACCTTGCTCCCTGCTTCCCTTGTTTTCTTGTCTCAATGCTGACCTTGCCCTGCTTATGTATACTCCCACCATTGTGTACATAGTTAGATTGTTGTTTGGCATTCTGCATTATTGTATTGATTTTGTTACTTCACATTGTTTATGGTTTACTGGTGTTGGGATTGGTGTTAGAAGTGTTTAATGTACCTCAATAAACCATCTGTAGGGTTTAAAGAGAATGGTCCAAAAAAGAGAAAAATGTCCAGTGAGTGGAAGAAAATGCCTTGTTAATGTCAGAGGTCAGAGGAGAATAGGCAGATTTGGTTTGAGATGATAGAAAGGCAACAGTAACTCATATCAATATGGACCAAAACCTCTGAGAAATGTTTCCAACACCTTGTTGAATCTACCACAAAAAATTAAGGCATTTCTGAAAGCAAATGGGGGTCTAACCCGGTACTAGCAAGGTGTACCTACAGTGTCAAAAGTTGAAAGGGAAATAAAAAGACTTTAATTTGGTTGTTGGAAGATTAACACGACTGGGTGAACTAAATTGCTATTGATTTCTTCAGAGATAGACATTTATTGAATTCCAGAACAGATGACAGTCCACAAAATATTGGCAAATAACCTAACCAACAGCAGTATTTAAGAGTCCCATTTAAGATACTTAGTCATTTTCTGTCATAGCAAGCATAGGGGCACTACACTGTCCAGCATTTATATCCAACTTATAATATGCACCTAGGTAGCTTTCATGCATGCAATAATGCGTTTTATGAGCTATACCTGTGTTTCCATATTGATGAATGAATCTAATCTTACACAGCTAAACTTCCCTCCATATACAGTTACCACCAGTAAGCAAAGCTGGAGTGTTTCTGATTGGCCGACAAAACACTTTTGATCTTAACATGAACAGACTTCAATTGTCATTACTGTAAATAACAATTAAGGTCACTATAGTGTTTACCAGGTAATCAAGTTACCCTTTCACCATTTCTCATCAATATCCACTTGAGTCTAAATTACCATCAATAAATATGGTCAAATAACATTCTTTATCATCTTAAATATGGAAACAGTATACCCATATAAATCTGCATTTTACAACCTCTTGTAGGTAACCTTGCAAACGGCCTCCTTTGAAAAGTTTAACTTTGGAGAGAGCCATTTAACTATCCTTTTGTTGTGTTAAACATAGCTGACCTGTGTCAAGACATGGCCTGCATAGGAATGTGTGTATTTACTGAATAAACAAATGAATATATCTGTATGAATATACTAGATATGCCATGTATAACTGAAAGGGGTACTCTTAATATAGTGATCAACATGTTTCTCAATCATATCACTTCTTCAGGAGCTATAAGAAGCTTTCTAAATAAAAGAATAAAGTAACATTGATAAACGGACATATAACATACCTAAAATGAATACAGCATACACGTCAGTACAAATGGTGGTAAAACAGATACAATTAGTCAATATACATACATCTGCACATAGACAAAGGAGGGGAGCACCTGATGACACTAAGAGGCCAAATCGATGAGGGGATCACAGCAGGGCCGAAGGAGTAGACAGCACGCCCTATAACAATGCATGATGCATAGATCGCTCCTGAAGAAGCAATATCATCATGAAACATGTTGAGCCATCATCATCCCTATATTAAGAGTACCCCTTTCAGTTATTGCCAAGACATGGCATATCTATGAGGTTAACACACATGCAACATCTCCTGCGCTCAGGGACTCAGATCAGAGGGGAGCCAATTAAGTAATTTGATGATGTTCATCCAACACTGATCAAAGGTTATGCAGCTCTAACAGGAAGCTGGGGAAGCTCGATAATGACTGTAGTAAAGAAAAAACGAAATGAGCACACAAACCTTGCGCATTGCCTCAGTAAAATTTTGTATGTATTTACTAATAAGTTTATAGTCACAAGAGTAGCAGTAAAAAAGGCATATAACATCCAAAACCACCACAGAGTTAAAACAACACGTGCGAGTTCCATCCAGAAGGGAGATAAACTCTTGGTCAAACTGACGCGTTTCAAAGGAGGATCCCTTCTTCCTCAGAGCTAGTCACAAAGAGATTAATTACCCCTAAGTATCAAGTTCTTATATGCCCAGCACACCCTCGTGAGTGGGACAATCACGTAGAGGGAGGGGGAAAGGGTTATTTTGGGGGCTAAACGTGTCACATAAATTCCTAAAACTTCATATTATACAAAGTGTGCAAAGCAAATGTATAAATAAAAACAAATAGATAAAAAATATACATATAAATATAAAATGATGGTATAATATGACCACAAATGGAAAAGGATATGGCATAAAATGACATAGTGATATAAAAGAAGACTTATTTGGTTAAACGTTAAAATTACTAAGTGGGAACAAAACAGAAAGGGGGGTCTTTATAATACATCAAACCCTTTGGGCCTGGTATGGATATTAAGGGGTAACCCCACACCAAAAAAATTAAAAAAAAAAAAAAAATGGCGTGGGGTCCCCCCCAAAATCCATACCAGAAACTTATCCGAGCAAGCAGCTCGGCAGGTCAGGAAAGAGGGGGGGGGACAAGCAAGTGCCCCCCCCTGAACCATACCAGGCCACATGCCCACGCCATGTTTTTAATTATTTAATTTATGGAAATTAGCTAACATTCAGCTGTCAGTGGGGAACCCCAGTGACAGATAAAGCATTAACACATGGTTGTTGCTACTAAACTCCCGCATGAGTTATTTTATCAACTCATGTGGCATTTTAGTAGTGAAAACCAATGCAGCGTTCATGTTTCAGCTGACAGCGGAGTTCCCCACTGACAGCTGAATGTAAAAGCTTTGCAGGAAATTCAAAAAATAATTTAAAAACGGCATGGGGTTCCCCCTCCCATCCATACCAAGCCCTTCGGATCTGGTATGGATATTAAGGGGTCACTACATGCCAAAATTAAAAAAGAAAAAAAACGGTGTGGGGTTCCCCCCAAAATCCATACCAGACCCTTATCCGAAAATGCAGCCCAGTAGGTCAGGAAAGGGGGGGGACGAGTGAGAAATTTAGAAGTATTCCTCAGTCCTTCATTCCCTACCCCCTCCCTTCCTGAGAGGCAAAAGTTATATCCTGACAGATGGTGTGGGTCAACCCAGGTTAAGGCATCCCTAGTTCGGTGCCGAGCAGTCTGCAAAAGTGTTGCCTTCCTCACCTAAATCATAAGGCCAGCCTGACCCCAGAACTTACGTAGGCTCATCCATCATAAAACAGATAAGGCAGTTTCTCCCCAGAATTGAAAGAGATTGTAACCTCACAAAACCTAACAGTTAAAGATGATAGAATGAAATGAACATTCCTCAAGTCAGGTTTTTTCCCCTATGTTTCATGTCATGGAATATGACAGATGTTGGTTCTAATTCAGAGCTCTCCCGACTGACCCCTCCCAAAACAGCATAGTGGCCAGTGTTTAGAGCCGCCCCCCCTTGAGAGGGATTTTAAAAAGACAGACTGACAAGCCTAAGGAGAGCCACACACATCTCCTGATCTTAACATCATAACAGAGGAGATCAAAGACCCTTTTTGCTCTGCAACTTGGATCTGCTTACAAACCAAGGCGTATTGGCAAGTAACTTAACCCTTTAACTTCCTTCCTATTATCCCTTTGCTGTGTTGTGGGTCTTTATATGCATATATATATATATATATATAT